AGATAAATACTTAAGGTGGGTGCATATTAAAATTACCCCATTTGATTATATGAATGTATCAAATTATCATAAGTATTATGAAAATACATAGAGAGCTATCATGTATCAATAAAAAATAAATAACAAAATAAACTTCTGTGTTCCACTGGCTCCTGAGAAAGAGACTTTAAAAAGAAAAAGGAAAGGCAAAGACATTAGAAGACATTGATTTCTAAGAAAGTGGCTCCTTGTTTTTATTAATTTGCTGAAAGCCAGAAAAATGTAGGCCATTGAGTGATGATGATTTAAGTTGTTCTTTTCAGTAACACATACAGGGGCGACCCTTGCCTTCCAAACAGTCTTTCAAGATCATACACATTCAAGTCTTTTATTGTCCCTTAAATCTTCGTTCTTCCTATCTCCTGACATGAAATAAATCCAAATAGATGTAGCAAGACAATGTTTTCGGTCACTAACTGCTGTTGTTTTCTGTTTTTTTGTATTTCCTCTCTCCTACTTAAGCTTGTAGGAAATCCCATGCCATTTCACCACAGGGGAGCTTTGCAGAGGATCATTGTGTGGCTTGGAGCAATGCCTGCCAGCCCAAGTGCATGTCCTTGGCATGGGGATGTATCTGCCCCTTGGAAGAGGTATTTTTGTTTGCAACCAAAGGCACCATCTGCTCACCCAACAGTATGCCCACAGCCTTGTGTCTGACCAAAAGGAAGCCTTTTTCTTATTCTTCTGGGTTTCTGGGATTACAAAAGCTAAAAACACTGTGGAAAATAGAATTTGATGGAAAAGGAAGCCTGTGTACATTGAGGGAAGAGAGCTGGAGGTAAGGGGGATGCCTCCTCCCAGAGCAGAAAAGGATCTCTCAGGCACCAAAGGAAATAAATAGCAAGCAGAGGAATCCGTTGGTGCCCCAAGAATGTGCCAAGATCTAGAAGGGAAGGGGAAGCCCAGGACCCCAGCATCAGAGAAGCACGCTGGAAGGGGAGACACAGGTTTCATAGTAGACTTTTGTCAGAAACCAGATAAGTGATAACAGGAGGGTCTCCTAGTACCCTGGGAGAAGACTGAGAAATGGGGCCACCAGGAGGGAGAGAAGTGCCGAGACTGAGGCTCGGTTTCTCACCAGAAGGTAAGGTGGGAGCTCAGAGTTAAAGTTTAGGCTGACTAAATAAAATGCCTATTTCTTACACAACTGAATTTGAGATCTGAGAGGCATGTCGGGTACCCAAATCGCAGAGAAACATTCTCCAAATCATCACCACCAGTTGCTGGGTCATGCTTTAAGAGAAGCTAATCTTCTGTCACTAGCTACTGTGGGCCAGTATCTACCACAGAAACTGTCACAAAATTTAAGTCACTTTTTTTTTTGTTTTGTTTTTTTGTTTAGCAGGCCCAGGCCAGGTTCAAACCTGCCACCCCAGTGCATAGGGCCAGCGCTCTAACCATTGAGTTACAGGGTCCCAGCCTCAAGTCACTTTTAACTCTCCTAGTGACAGTGAAAAGTAAATTGTGGCTTGGTGCCTATAGCTCAAGTGGCTAAGGCACCAGCCACATACACCGGAGCTGGTGGGTTCAAATCCAGCCCGGGCCTGCCAAACAACAATGACAACTACAATCAAAAAATAGCCAGGTGTTGTGGTGGGCACCTGTAGTCCCAGCTACTTGGGAGGCTGAGGCAAGAGAATCGCTTAAGCCCAAGAGTTTGAGGTTTCTGTGAGCTGTGACGCCATGGCACTCTACCCAGGGTTGATAGCTTGAGACTCTATCTCAGAAAAAAAGTACATTACAATTCACCTTCCTTACACATAGGAGACTCAGAGAAGTGAAGTGACTTATACAATGATATTCAGTGAGTAAATTACAAATAAACTGGAAATTTCAATCTCTTTAATACCAAAGCCCACTCTTTTTCCACTGTACCAGTGACTTTCAAACTATGTTCCACAAAAACCTAAAAGGTATTAAATTCGATTTTTTTATATGAGTGTAACTATTTTTTTTAATAAGCAACACTTGCAAATTCTACAACTTTGGTGACCATCAATATGCTAATTTTTGTTGTCAAGTTCATTGGGTTTCATGTTCAGAATAAAGCTTCTCCTACCACTTCTAAATACATACTTGAACTTCTCCCAACTGTCTCATCATTAGGAAGACTGTGGTCATATTGTATTTGTTCATTCAGATGTGTGAATATTCACTCATGTAAAATAGTACAAACAGGGACAGAACCAAAGCACAGGCAAGCTGCACTCAAATTCCAAGCAATGCTCAAACAATTCGGTTTGGAACAACCTGCCATTTTGGCAAAGAAGAGCAAATACTAAGTACATGAGTACCTCCTTACATCTGTGTATTCCATTCAAAGACATTTTAACATTTCTAGGATCAGTTTAATTGAATATTAATTTCCAATCCAATTTTTCTGCCACCCACATACTCCCCAGCTCTAATTTATTTGGGGCAGGAAAGAGGTTGGTGGATTTCTTCAGTTTTAAAAGAGAAAAACATAAATGTGAACTCACCTGATGATTCTGTTATCTATTTTAGGTTACATAAAATAATCAAAGGATTTTTGTCCAACATAGGATTGGAAAAGTTACTGCGTGTACAAGGCAAGCTGTTAAAAACTGGTCTCCATTTTCTTCTATTTCTCATGTTTTCTGAAGGCTACTATGAAAACTAGAGGCTTAATTAGATTCAAAGTTTTCTTTTCCTTTTTTTGGTACAACATTTTGTTAACAGGGTATACTTCCGACTGCATAGTCTCAGAAGGCACATAATACCTGCTTGTCCCACTGTTAGCAATGAACCCATTGCATGTGGGTCCTGGTGATGGGAGTCAGATCTCTCTTATCATAAATTTCCTAATTGCCCTTTCACCTAATGGTTTTGGCAGCTATTGATGACAATTATCTAGATCCATCATTTCATTGGAGATTTTTTCAAAGTTGGATACTTTCTAATTCTATTATTTCTCCTGGATTTTTTAAGCTATGATTCTCCTATAAGTAAGAACTTTCTCTCATCAGCTATTAGGTTACCCAGAAATCAGTCAAATTCAGAATGTGGGACAGTTGCTAGGACAGTCTAATTTCTTCAACAAGTAAATACGGTTTAAAAAACAAAAAGGGAATTCTTGGGCATTAAAATAGACATCTCAACAAAACATATGTATTATTCTCATTTGGACCCCAAGTCAAATAACAACTGTTTTTGTTTTTTAAGACAAGGGCATGTTTGAGACAATCAGGAAAATTAAAAATTAACTGGGAATTAAATGTTGATTATGAAATTACGATTACCATTTTCATTGTGATAATAGTCCTTTCTGTTACACAAGCACTGAAGTATTTACCAGCACAATGATATATTTTGGATTTGTTATAAAATGTTCTAGCCCCCTCCCAAAACAGAAGTAGTTTAGATAAATAAATAAATAACAGCAAAAAATCAAGAGTTGTTGAAGCTGGGTTGATGGGGACATGAGAATTTATTGTTCTATTTTTGTTTGTTTTTTTGTGTATCACTTTCCATAATAAAATGTTTGACAGAATAAATTTAATTCTTTGACAAGGTGTAGAAATTCGTGAAAAATAAAATGGCTACCATTGGCAATTATCCATCTGTGTGAATCAAGATCTTCCATCTTTCAATAGAGTGCATAAACTTAAACTTAAGTTTGAAAGACAGTCACCAGCTACTTCAAAACACCAATTAAAATGGAAGAATATCATAATAGTTCTAGAACTGAGATGACAGTCTTTAAACCCAGTTTTTAAGAAAGAAATGAGTATCTATGAACATGGGATGGAGGTCAATTCGATTGTCACCATGATTGTGTCTTACATAGTACCATGTAATCATTTCATCACCCAACATGGAAACACAGCTGTCTCTAATAATACTCAGAATTTCCTCCACACTAGATGGGAATTCTTTCAATGACTGAAGATTTTTATTGAGAGTCCCATTATCTAAACTAGAGTTCAAGCCACACAGCCACACCCATTTGCCAGAGGGTTGCTTTCCCAAGTACAATGGCAGAAATGAGTAGTTGCAACAGAGATCAGATGGTCCACAAACCCTAATGCCCCTTTACTGGAAAAGTTTGCCAATCCCTGATCAAATCAAAAGATAAAGTCCAGAATTTGGATTTTGAGAGGTTGACTTACATGAGATGAGAGTTATATGCTTCTATAATTTGAATATGAATATATCATTAATGTTCTGTAGTTTGAGAACAGAAACAGGGGTTGAGAATCATTGGTTCAATAACATTTTCATTATTAGTCAAAGTAACTGTGGAAGCAAAACCAAAAAAACAAGGGCAGAATCAAAGCACAAAACAATTTAGAAAATGTTATTTTAATTCTTGCAAAGCTCTTTCACTGGTGACTCTTTCCCCGTTGGCAGTTTTCAGACAACCTCTTGAACTTACCAATGCAATGTACTTCAAGATTGTCCACATAGCCTACTCCTTTATCGAAGAGCTTCTTACTCTCCCAAAAGCAAGGGCAATAGAGTAAGTGTTGCCTCAGCTTTTGAAAGCAAGGAGGAGAGATTCAGACTGAATTTGTCAATGAAACTACAGGCATGTATACAAAAAGTACTAGTGAAAAGGGAACAAGAAATTATGGCACGTGTTCTCGCCTCTGTCAGGGGACTGTGGTGGTAAGGGAAAGGGCAGAGTTCAGAAAGTCTTTGCTCACAATGAGACCCTATCGTCCCCTGCCCACTGGAATTGCTCTGAGTAGATATTTGCAAGCCAGATCACAGATCACTTGAAATTCACTCACTAACTTCCTGAAAGGCTGACAAAAGTTGTCTGGTAATGATCTACATTCTGCAAAGCTGGGGAGTCAGGAGGAAATTCTCGATCCTACTGTTCAATAGAATTTTGAGCTTATTATTTCACTAAGGCAGCATGAGTCTCTTTCCCCAGGAAGGCACCCCAAAAGAGTAGCATCAGATGAACAAAGAGGATGAATGAGTCCTCGTTATACCTTCAAGATATGTTCATTGGATGCCTTGTCATCAGGGGACACGTACAAACGGATGAACACAGAATTGCTATATTGACCACGAAATGTCGCAAGTGTGTGCAGAAGGCTGAACTTTCTCTCTGACCAAACCCCTTCAGGACCAATATTAGATTCGAGCACAGGCCAGCGAAATGGTGAATGTCGCAGGATATGTAGCAGTGGCTTAGCATCTGCTTTTTCAATCGCTTCTGAAAGGGAGAAGATACGAAGGCAGAGTTAGAATCGCAAACTGGATCACCAGACTAGGAGGCAAGTGCATCTTCTCAAGGGAGAATTTCCATAAGGCCCCAACTTAAAATATCAGCTATCAGGGCTAGGGTAGAAGATGTGGGATGGGAGGAACATAAGCACAAACACAGAACTACCTATGACCTGCTCTTCATTGTGACTCTCTAAACCTGGTATTCTTGCCAGGAGAGCTGACAAAGGAACCTGCTAGATATTCCCTGCAATAAAATATGGTTGACTACACTGACTCCAGCCAACAAATGGTGCTAGGCTGATAATACTTGGTGGGACAGGCTTGGCCCCCGTAGCTCAGTGGTTAGGGTGCTGGCCACGTGCACTGGGGCTGGTAGGTTTGAACCCGGCCCAGGCCTCCTAAACAACAATGACAACTACAACAAAAAAATAGCTGAGTATTGTGGTGGGCGCCTGTAGTCCCAGGTACTTGGAAGGCTGAGGCAAGAGAATCACTTAAGCCCAAGAGTCTGAGGTTGCTGTGAGCTGTGATGTCATAGCACTCTACCCAGGGTGACATAGTGAGACTCTGTCTCAAAAAAAAAAAAGACTTGGTGGGACTAAGGAACAAACCTAACTAAAGGAAATGCTTTAGTGATGCCAATAACTCCCCAGGGAACGTGAATTAATGCTTCAGACTCTTGTTTATACTGCTCTCTTCTACCTCACTAAATAATGTTCCAAATCCTAAATCAATTAACATACTCCCCACTTCTGAGAGCCTCTGGCTTCTTTCTTCAATGGCCTTGAGAAAGTGAACCAGGGAAAATGGCAAGGATCTCTTCCAACTCCAGTCAGACCTAAGACGTTGAGACAGGCCTAAGGCACGGACTAAAATGCCTAGTAGGCTAATGCAGGAGCCTGGCATACCTGGGAATCTGCATTTCTCTAGGCCCCAGTAGATCCTATGGAACATATCAGTATTCTAATATGCCCAAGTGCACTTCCTCCCAGCCTCTTAGGCCGCATCTGGCCTGGCCTCTGGATTCTCGTTTCTGCACTAGGTCCAGTGAGGTTTGCCTTTTTGACCCCACCTAAGTTGCTCATGGAGTAACTGAGACCCCAAAAATCCAAGCCATAGAAATAAGATTATCTTCTCCCTCAAGCCAGCAACAGAACAGTAAGTAAGACAGGACTAGTCAAAATCCAGTCTTTGAGAATTGGTTTTTTGTTAAACAACACCTTTAAACATTCATAGAATTCTTAGCAATTCTCATTTTCCTCAAACAATATCTTTAAACATTAATAGAATTCTGAAGGATAAGGGTGGTAAATATTTCATTTATTTTCTTTATTACTCACTCTCATTCATGCAGGATGAATAAAGGATTTTGGCTTTCTGTCTGGCTTCAGTGTCCCGCCTTCTACTGATTGATTTCTCCAAAAGTGCTGGGAAAGGTTAAGAAAGGATTCATTAGTATCCACCCACACATGGTGCCAAGTTGGAAGTCATTTGATAATCACAGTCCCAGCCTCCAGAAAATTAAATATAAAGGCAGACAACTCTGGAAAAGACAGATCTATCAACGACATGCAGACAGCAGAACCGATTCCAAGTTGCTTGAGGTTCAAATAAAAACAATTTAACATTCTCTCCTCCAGGGCTCTCCTAACTCAAAAAAAACCCCTAAAAGTTCAATTTGCAACTGAGACTGGATCTTCTGTAGGGGTTAATTCCATCTGCTACCTACACAAAAGGAAACAGCATTGGTTTATCCAAGGACCATAAATAACTAAATTCTGTCCCTTGTTCCTATACCAAGTAATATTCTCAACAGAGGCAATTTCATCAGGGTCAGGGTTCTTAAGATTTCTTCATAGCCCAGCCTCTCAGGGAGGTCACCTGGAAGCAATTTCCCCTCAGAAGTTTCATTCAATGTTGCCTAAACATGCTGTGGACACGGAAGAAGTTCTCTGGACAAGAAACGAGGATGTGAGATTGGAAAACCTACCCAAATTACCTGAAAATGTGCCCAGTTACACAAGCAAAGTCCTGGCCATTTCCATGAAGCCATGTGTACAAAATGGCCACCAGCGTAGACCTAGGCCCACCTGGAAAATGAGTTTCTATTTATAAAACCACTGATAATATTGTGGAAAGGTGGAAAATAACAGCTGTCACCATTTCGTTAAATAAAGAAAAAGGAAAAGCAGGAGTCAATGAAAACCACCCTTCCCAAGAAAGAGTACCTTGCATGTATTTGAGGGTATGAATTTACCAAAATGAAGCCAACAGGAAGAATCCCCACGGTGACCGCAGGGCACTGAAACACCAAACTATGCATGGCAAACTGCTGTTGTCAAGGCATTTGGGCAAACAACCTAGCAACCTCCAAAAGCACGGTACAACAGATGTTCCTACAGGGCTCGGAATAGCTTCAAGACACAATGTACAGAGCTAATTAAATTATTAAATAATCACATATTCTCGGAAGACGAATCTACTTCTAAAACTAGAAGTTCTACACTTCAAAAAGATGCAACACAGAGCTCCCGTCTGCTTTTCTTTTATAAGCATCTATACATCAAACAAGTCCACATAACTAGACAGATCCCAGTGAAATAAACGGAGCAGGGGTGGGTATAGGCATTTTCAATTCATTTCAGCTTTCCTGATATTTCCTTCTTAGGTATCATCATAGCCATAAAAGAATGATAACTAGCCCCAAGGATAAAGAAAGGAGGCTTTTTTCAATGAATGGAAAGCTCCAAAGCTATTACACGTATATTTCCATTCAAATCGGTCCCTGTGCCTTTTCACCATGTTGCTTACATAATCATTACAGCCGTTTGACGGTTAGGGAGACACATTTGGAAATAAGGAATCTAAATCTCAGTTAGGGTGGTGATGATGTTCCAACGCTATAAACACTCCACAGACTGCAAACATGAATGCCCTGAGGACCACAAAACAAGCCACAGGAGCAAGATGAACTAAAAGTATTAAATATTTACTGGTGTGCGCTCCCAAGGCATGCTGAGGATCAGGAGGAGGAGAAAAGAGGACACACAGATGCTAAGTAGGGCAATCCCCAAACCCCTAAGCACACAACAAATATCAATCATTTGTCTACATCAAAATTCTGGTTGCTATACCAGAATTTGGCTTTTAAAATAGATTCAGCTACCGGGGGTTCCCTTTTCTTTCCCTTCTCCTCTTTCTCTCCGTGCCCAGGCAGGCAGGAGAGAACACTGATAGACAGACAGTGACGTGGCGATCAGTTGGCAGCGTCCATTTTATATATTTCAGCACGTGAATTAGGGGTGAGAGGAATAAAATCTAGCCCAGAGAGTTATTAATGAACAGAAAACAAATCGTGCCTATCACATGCAATTTACTCAGGTTAGTAAAATGTCCCTAAAGCATTAAGAGAGGCTCGTAGGTCACCCGTACAGGGGAGTTCCCATCATAACCTGTGTTGTTTCTTGGAGGTTCTTCCAGCTCCGCACCCCCATCTCGGTATTCTTCATGGTGGTGTTACAACAGGAAAGGAAAAACTCCAGTTCATAAAAATCTCCAGGGGAGCAAACCTCAGACTTCAAAATTGCTTTGAGAAGGTCTTATCAGGAAATTTCAACATTAAGTACATATTAAGTGTTTTTCTTCTCCTCATTATGCTCAATCAAATGAAACTGACTTTTAAAAAAATAAAGCGACATAACAGACATATCAAGGGGGTGGGCTTCGGAATCACACACACGGGCTCCCCGTTGTAGCTTGCTGCTACTTCCTACCTGGAATTTGAGCAAGGTATTCAATCTAAGCCCCAGTTTCTTTATCTGTAAAGGTGAATAACAGCACACACCTTCCAGGACGGTGGTAAGAACTTACAATTCTTTTTTTTTTGAGACAGTCTCACTATGTCACCCTCAGTAGAGTGCTGTGGTATCACAGCTCACAGCAACCTCCAACTCCTGGGCTTAAGTGATTCTCTTGCCTCAGCCTCCCGAGTAGCTGGGATTACAGGCGCCTGACACCATGCCCAGCTATTTTTTGGTTGCAGTTGTTCAGCTGGCCCAGTCCAAGTTCGAACCTCCCACACTTGGCGTATATGACTGGTGCTGTAACCACTGTGCTACGAGCGCCGAGCTAGAACTTGCAATTTTTAATGTACAAAAAGACCCTATCTCAGTGCTTAGGCACATGATAAGGAAGATCAATAAGTGGCAACTTAAATAGGATTACAGACAGAGTTAGCCACATACCAAAATTGTAACATAATCAAGCTTGTGTCTAGCACTTCCTCCAGAATTGTTTTTGTTTCCCCCTTCCTTCTCAGGATATTGGTTGCCCAAGGCCTTATGCTGACCCAAGATACTGCCAGACCATGTGTAGGACCTACTGTAACCACCTTGCAAAGCCCCAAGCTCTCAATACTTCCCTGCTTCCATAGTAGGTCCAATGCTAAATCAGGAGATATATTTTGCAGTCAGTATTCACATCCTCATCCTGGGCAAGGCATTTTCTTTTAGGTAAAAATTTTCAGTAAAAGTATAGAAAAGTATAGAGATCATAATTTGAATGATTTTTAGAAAATAAACCCAAGCAAGTAACTGACATTATTACTAGGACCCCAGATGCCCCTTGTGTCCCCTTCCAATTACTACCCCCAGCCAAGACAACCAACATCCTCCTTGGTCAAGAACTCACTCAAGCCTACCTCACATATTTCTACTGGATAATCTACATTTTTCTTATTGATTTGTAGGAGTTCTTTATATATTCTACACACAAGTCCTTTTTGAATATTTGTATTGCAAACATTGCTCCCATTAAACAGACTTCATCCATTTTTAATGGTATCTTATAATGAACCAGAATTCTTTTTTAATGTACCACAATTAATTCATTTTTCCCCTCTATGATTAGCACATTTTATGTCCTATTTCAGAAATCTCTGCTTATCCCAAAGTCATGAAGACAGTGTACATTTTGTTCCAAAATCTTCATTGTTTTTCATTTAGATCTACAGTCCGTCTGGATTGATTTTTTGCCCATAGCATGGACAGGCAGGCCCTGGTAACACAAGCCTAACCTCTCAGGGATGGATCACATGAGACTCTTAATAAGGAAGATATTTGGGGTCATTAGGCTTCAAATAATATCATGAAAGAAATACTATGGGTGAAAAAATACTCGGCAATAGCAGTAGTTACTCTTCATTAGGTTGAGTACTCTTTCAGTCAGGAGCTGAGTTGCATTATCTTTGAACACTGAGAGCCTAAAGCGTGGCCTGGTTGGTGCCTAGTGAATGTGCGCTGAGTTGATTCCTGACAAGGAATGACTAAAAGAGAGCTTTTCAGTCAACTGAAAAGGTACACGAGAAGCTAGACTGACTAGTTTTATTATTTCTCTTACAATCAGCAATGTCCTGATCATGTCAACATGGTAATCTCCTTTGGTCACATCCTAATCCCTATATTATGCCGTGAAATTCAACACTTGATCCCTCTTTTTATATAAACCAGTTTTTAGGATACCTAAGTTTGATTTTAGCAATTGTCTCAGCTTAATCGTCCAGTCCCAATGCCCTTCTCGTCCATACTAGAAAGAAAAAAATAATAACTTAGTTATTCTCCGACACCAAGAGTAGGACTATCAAATCTATTCAATTTACTCCTGCTCTGACAAGACATGTATTGAGTGCCCTAGAATACGAAAAGGAAATCCCAAAGGCCGGGATGAGACTCCTCAGAACTTTACAGTACTCTGGTTAGTCAAGAGTTCATAACAGCCTCTTTGCCTACTCGCCCTAGCAATGGAGGCCCACTCGCTGTCTATGGTGAATGTATCCTGCTTTGTAAGCTTTCTTACTCTGTAAGCCTCTGTCTCTTCCTCAATAAACTTTGTTTCGTGCTTGCCTTAGAAAATTGTAAAAAAGAGTTCATGACACTCACGTGCAGCTCAGGCCAGTCAGAAGAACTTTCGGCAATATTTAGGATCTGCTCAACTAATACTATCTTTGAAAATACCATATGTGCAAAGTTTTAGGTCTGTGAGCAAAAACCTACCAAGAACCTTGATGCTGAGTTCACACCATTTGAATGAGATGGCTGCAAAGCACTGGACCTCTCACAAAACATCCCCTCATGTGTTTTTTTCGACTCTGCAGTATATATCTATGTGCCTACTCTAAAGGGGAATCCTCTAGGTATTAGCTAAGAGACCAATGGAGGCTGGAGCTATGTGCTTGATTTGCTTTAAAGAAACAGCAATTGGGCGGCACCCCTAGCTCACAGGGCAGCCCAGAGGCCACACACACCAAGGCTGGCGGGTTCGAACCCAGCCTGGGCCAGCTAAAACAACAATGACAACTGTAACAAAAAAAAAATAGCCAGACATTGTAGTGGGTGCCTGTAGTCCCAGCTACTCAGGAGGCTGAGGCAAG